AGGAAGATCCTTAGACTTGGGGTGCAGTTCTCCTTGATGATCCTTAAGGTGTCTTTCGAAGAATAATTAAGTGGCCTCACCATTGTCTGCATATCGATCATGTAGTCTTTAAACGACTCTCTGAAGCCCTGCTTCCGTTGCATGACCTGATCCGCCAGCCTGGTGAAGAAGTCTCTCCCCAGAAAGTATGTATGGAAGCTATCTATGAACTCTGCCCAGGTTTTCCATTGCTTGTTGGTGGCGATGAACCCTTCCCTTAAGGCATCGCTCGGGGGATCATGTCTAAATCCAAGCCGTATGTGCTGGCGGACTTTTCGAACCTAAGCGACCACTCGCGGACCTGTTTAGCGACCATTTCATAGTCTGACTTACAGGGTCTCGATGTCAGCGCTGCTGTTTTCCTGTCTTGGCTTGACCCCCTCCTGTGGGCCTCATTCACTGCTGGGACAATCACGTTTTGGGCGCCAGATGTAACGAACTGATTTTTGTGGTCTGCTCGCTACAAGATTCGTGCAGCTGGCTCAGTAGATCGTGTGTGTTCGTCCCACCAAATTTATACAAACGTGACCGCCCAGCAGTTCAGTGAGAAAGGACAGAATTCACAGGTTCTTAGAGGGTTTATTACGGGGATAATGTTATAGCAGTGTATTCTTGGCAGTGTACGCATTTCTTCCTTTTGGGTTGACAGGGCAGCTTGCCGAATTATGGAAGTCTCCACAGACTGTTGGGGGCGAACAGCATGCCCTGGTATGTCCATACTCCTGACAATTTGTGCATTGCGCTTGGCCGTTCCTGTTATGTGGCTCTTCCACCTTAATTCTGCGGCGCAATAAGTATTGAAGGTTATATATGGGGTGCACTTCATTTTTCTTCAAGACTCTGCTGTCTGGCTCCAGCTCGACCTTGAAGAGTGGTTGCGTCTCTTTTTTCCTGTTGATGATGTTACTGACGTTCTTTGCAGAAATCCCGTTTCTTTTGGGGGTTACTTCGGGCTTAATTCCTTTTAGTGCTACTTGCAAGGCCTTGCTGCTTTTTAGTTGGTACGTGAAGTAGTTTTTCCTATCTTCCTCGAGGTATTTGGATACAGCTCGGAAATGTTCTTAAGATTTGGTCTGAGGCTTGGCTTCATGTATGTTCCCTTTTGTGACCCGAACAACATGAAAGTTTCCGTCCCCGGTCAGCGCAACAATTTTGTTGACCAAGGCACTCGAGATTTTCTCTCTAACTTAAATTGGTCTTGATCCTGTTCTGGTTCATTTTCTGCTGGAAGCACAAATCTATTACTGTTGGATCTCCCGGGTAGTTTATTGTATATTTGGACACGGTTTATTTTTGACTTGTTACCTACCGCAGAGTTCTGCGGGCTAAGCTTACGCTTGACTTGGATGTAGCGATCTAATCCGGTCTGTATGGCTGGGTCCGCTTGCTGAATTTTGTTTTGCTTTTGATTTGTTGTCGTGGTTTTTGTTGCCGTTGTATTCAGCTCTGCGGTCGACATCGCAGTCGATTCCGAAATAATAGCCGTAGCTGAGGTTGCTGTTGGTTTTGTTGCCGTATCTGTAGTTGTTGCTGTGTGCCATTGCAGAAGTTTTGCCGCTGCATTGGTGCGCCAGGGGTCGAAACTGGTGGTGGGGGTGTGTGGCACTGTACAACAGTAAGTAGGCATGGAGAGCAAGATCGTGCTCTTTGGCTATCGACCTTCAGTAGGGTCGTTTTTTGCACTGTGCTATGAAGCGTTGAAACATACGAGAAGTACCCGTCTCTTCGGCTCGCGGAGCTTAGTCACTCTTTATTTTGTTCGTTGCTCATTGAGCTTTTTTAGCGTGGCACTTATTTATTATAAAAAAAATAATTTTGCTCATGTTTATGTCATTACCCTGATTTTGTGATTTTTATACCCTTGCAGAGGGTATAATGATTTCAGTCAGAAGTTTGCAACGCAGTGAAGGAGATCAGCATCACTAGAAATAACATTTTTTAATTAGTTTTGAAGTTCGAATTAAATTTTATCAAAATCGGAAGACTATATCATAAAGCTGCCATAGGAACGATCGTAAAATTGGTGGGAAAATAATATGAAACAAATTACAGCTTCGGTGTTCCTTAACATAACCTCCTACGCTTGGAAATAACATTTTTTAATTAGTTTTGAATTTCTAATTAAATTTTATCAAAATCGGACGACTATATCATAAAGCTGCCATAGGAAACGATCGTAAAATCAGTGGGAAAGTAATATGAAACAAATTATAACTTCGGTGTTTTTTTTTAACATATAACCTCCTACACTTGTAAATAACATTTTTTAATTCATACTGAACTTCGAATTTAATTTGATCAAAATCGGACGACTGTATCATATAGCTGCCAAAGGAACGATCGTAAAATTGGAAATAAAATTTTTAATTAGTTCTGAATTTTTTTGAATTTAATTTTATCAAAATCGGACGACTATATCATATAGCTGCCATAGGAACGATCGGAAAATTGGTAGGAAAATAATATGAAACAAATTATAGCTTCGGTGTTTTTTGACATATTATCTTATACTATTGGGAATATCATTTTTTGTGTTTTTAGATTTAATAATTAAAGCTGCGAGGGTATAACTTCCTTTCTTGTTTTTTCTTTGTGTTTAGCGTCTTTTTGATTATTTGGAATTCACCAGATAAGCTTTTGTGTTTTGTTTGCATTTAATTCATCAACTTTCTTGCACTTTTCCGGAAGCTCGCACGAGACACACCCGTCCTCTTTAACTGCAAGCAGTAAGGTGTGAAAATTTAGAAAATTTCATCTGTTGGACCGTTGGGGATAAATGCACAAGTTCATGAGTCTAGTTGTATTCTCTCTTAAAATACGCATCGAATGACACCTCATTTGTAAAATTCGGATGCTCCGGTTAAAAGTAATATGCAGAACAAGATTTTGGGGGATATCTCAAAATGAATGTGGGATTGGTTTTTCTGATTTAAATGAAAAGTCCCACTAATTGTAATTTTATTATAATAGGTTTATAGTTTTATTTAAAGGAATAGTGATAAGTAGTTCTGATTATAGTTTTAGGTATTTAATAGGGATTTTAACAGCGTTGTAAGATTATTACTCGCGTCGTTCTTTTGCTTCGTATATATTTCACGTCTTTCTTCTTCGTCTCTCTCGTTCTAAGTGCTTGTCCAAGACTTCCTTTTTCACCACGCCAATAATTAGCAGTGCTGTTCATCTGTGGTGGGTTCGGCTGACAAGGATGCCTGTCCTATTCCCACATGAAAATTGTATTGTGTTTGTCAGTTTGACCTAAAACGTTATTTTGGGGTCCTGAAAATTCTAAACGATGTTAGCCAGCCTTATATAAGAAACTTTGATTCTCCCACTTTTCGAGGAACTTGCTAGTTTGGCGGGAAAACAGCAATATTTAGCTGCACTTCGTACACCTCTAATATTATGGGCAAAAGTTTTTTGTTTAGTTTTTTTTTTTTGATTTCTCAAAAACGGCTCTAACAATTTTGAGAATTTCGAGAAGAATTCCCGTTTATAACATTCACCACGAAGAATAATGAACCACTGATTCGAAAGTGTAAGGTCTCGGTTTAAGGATCCAAAGATGGGTTCCAAAGTGTCTTAAGCAGACGGTAACACGGCCAACGTCATCAACAACGTTGGCCCGGGTCACAACCAATTGGCTTTGAAGGAGCCGGCAATAAAACTAAAAGTTATATATAAAACGATTAACAATTAAAAACAATAAACAAAAAAACAAATAAAACACAAGAATACGTGTATCTTAAACCAGCCACCAACACCTTAGTGTAACCCTAGGCATGCCAAGGCGTTACCACTACATGTTTCAACCGAATGCCCGGCTAAGGTGGACTTCCATCATTCCCTCCATATTCATCGTTCTGATTTTTATTTATTTGTTTTTGTGCTGTAAACAAAAAAATGTAAGCCTAAACAATTCACCAATAGTAATAATTGCCGTCTAATCGATTGTTCCAATATTTTTTTAAAACGATGTAAGAAACATATAGAATTATTATACCCGTTACTCGTAGAGAAAAAGGGTATACTATATTCGTCGGAAAGTATGTAACAGGCAGAAGAAAGCGTTTCCGACCCCATAAAGTATATATATTCTTGATCAGGATCACTAGCCGAGTCGATCTAGCCATGTCCGTCTGTCCGTCTGTCCGAATGAACGCTGAGACCTCGGAAACTATAAGAGCTAGGCTATTGAGATTTGGCGTGCAGATTCGTGAGCTTCTTAAGCAGCGCAAGTTTGTTTCAGCAATGTGCCACGCACAGTTTTGAAGCTAGAGAAAAAATTTTAACAGAAATGTATTGTTCTCATCAAAACCTATCGATTGACCCAAACAAAATTTGCCACGCTCACTCTAACGCCCATAACGCTTAAGTCTGTCTACCGCCGGTAGGTGGCGTATTTCAATCTCGCTTTGATGCTTGCATATCTCCATTTCCCTTTGTTCCCTTTACCTGAGTAACGGCTATAGCGACCTTCCTTGTTTTCTTTTAAATTATTTCATCAACGTTTAGTCTGAACACCAGAAATTGCACCTACACATATATCTTATCCCTTTGTTAGCATTGTGCACCCGTACACGAAACTTTCCAATTAAATTATAATGATAACCGAAATATAATAGAAATAGAAACCCACTTAGAGAGGGAGCTGGTAAACTGGACAGGGTCAAGAACAATGAGTAACTTTCGGTTGACGACATTGGAGTTAGGGGATCGTATAGCGCGGCCCACGACGATCCATTTGGCACACGACGTGTGTATCGTGTTACGATCAAGCGACAGCTAAGCTTGTGGGGCAGTGTGGACAGAGGACCGAGGAACTTTACATATGCTATCCACATTATAGACACTGTCGACTGTCAAACATTGTAGTCGATAGGTAGAATAAGTATTATAAGGAAAATCTAGTATTTGTTAAGTTATCCGATCTCGTATGGATTTCTTGGCCCTTGAAGTGTGGGCCTACTAATATCGGTATAGTGAATGCCGCCAAAAAATGTGCTTCTCATTGTCTTGTGAGTTGTAGGAGTGAATAGCGGTAAGATTAAGTTAGTTTGAAATGTATGAGGCTGATTTGAATTGTTCACGCGCACGCCGCCCTTGAAGTTAACCCTCTCTTCGGCCCTATGCGTGTGGGGTAGTGGTTTAAAAGGCAACTCCATACGATGCAAGACAACTCCTTTTACTCGCAGACCTAGGGAGACTGCAAGGGCAACTTGCGCTGGAGGACGGCTTGACGACCAGTACTTCCCGTACCAGTAGAGGAGTCACAGACAGCGACATAGAGGGGCGCAGCCAGCGCCGAACACTGGGTACGGACGAAGTCGCAGCCATCGATAGGGAGACGCAGCCAGCGTCAGTTAAGGAGACCGCAGCCAGCGGTCAGGAGGCAGAAGACGCAAGGAGTGTCAAGCATCGGCGGTCGCAGCCAGCGGCCAGAAGGCACAGGTGCCGCCATTTTTGAGAGCGCTGCAGCATTCCCCCAAGAGGAGTTCGCGGCTGACATTAGGGGAAGCCACCCCTACAGCAACGCGAGCGGATCAGCAGCCAGCGAGCAGAGAACAAGCCGCGACTGAACATAACCTCGGCGGCGGCCATTTCTAGCCCAGCCACTACGGTGACTACAGTAGCGTCCCAACCCAGGAATACTGCTGTCACAGCTGCGAGTTGGAGGAGGAGCTGAAGCAGGCTAAAATCCTGAACAGGGCGAGCACCGCGAATTGCGCGCCAATCGCGGTTGGCCCAAGCGCAGACCTGCAGACCTGCCTGTATTTGGAGGGCAACCCGAGGAGTGGCTGATTTTTAACTGTGCGTTTGTGGAGACGACCCAAGCATACAACTGCACGGACTTGGAAAGAACAAGAAATTGTTGAAGGCGCTGAAGGATGAAGCACGAGAAACAGTAAAGTCGCTGCTGTCACCCCGGGAACGTCAGCACCGTGATGGAGCAGCTGCGTTTTAGGTTTTGCCGACCGGAGCAGCTTATACGCAGCCAGCTGAACAGCGTGCGAGAGGTGCCGCCCATTTCGGAGCAGCACCTGGCGAGGATCGTTCCCTACGCAACCCGAGTGAGTAACCTCACGGCCTTCTTGCAGTCGGCGAAGGCGGAGCAGCACCTGCGGAACCCAACGCTAATGGAGCAGCTTGTGGCGAAGCTTCCTACGAGCAAGCGAGTAGACTGGGCCAGGCACGCTGCATCGATCAAGCCCTTTCCCACTTTAGCGCACTTCAGCGCGTGGCTACAGGAGTACGCAAAAGTCGTGTGGTTTTGGACGTCGATGGAAAGGAGCCTAGGCGTCGAGTTCTGCATGCGAGCGTCAACCAGAACGGATGCGATCATCAGGATTGTAGGATTTCTACCGAAATCTGGTTTTGCTGAAAGGGGTTTTTTGGGTGCCTCAAGTGCAGAACCAGTGGCAATAGTCGCTGCAATAAGTACAGAACAAATTGGGCTGCGGAGAAGTGAATACGTCAAGATTTCTTTTCGTACTGATTTTATTGAGCATGGATCCGGGTTTATATACATGATTTGGAGTTACAAGGATGTTTACTTAGGTCTAGTCTAGATACAAATGGACAACATGGTTTATTATCAGATTACAGGAAAATAGCCTAAATAAGCAATTACATCTACCAAATCGTGTGAAGACACGTCCGTCGGCTGGATGCATATGGTTTATGACCCGTTTATCATATGCAGATGTGCGCAGACCAAGAGATCAGCTACCTATTTATTTAGGTTAGGTATTTAGCAGCTATCAGCAACGAACGAATTTCTGCTAAGTCGAAGTCGTACATACTCCCGGCCGTTGAACTAATGTTCAACAATCGTTAATGTTGATCGTGAAGGGCTGGATCGAAGAACCGTCTCTATTTACAGGCGTGGACGGCATTTGATTTAGCTGAAGGGTGTTTCTAGGTTTTCGCCATTTCTTCGTTAGGTGAATTACAACAATGATTATTATAAAAACTAATGCAATATAAATAGCAATATGATGATGTTCAATTGTAATAATAGTAATAATAAAACTATTGGGAGGCAAGAATTGAGCCTCTCGTTGTTACAACTCCTTGTATTTTCCGGTTCAGAACATATAACACTGCCTGAGAATAGAACTTTATTTTTCGTATCCAAACTTTATCACTGCGGACGGCGGTCCACGTAGTGACGAAGCGCACCAGGAGAGTGTGCGATGCCGACTACTATAAATAGACGAAAAAATGACAATATACTGTGATAGTCTGATCGTAACAAGTGATACATCAATCCAAAGGTATCGCAAAAACTAAAAGGATTGTGTAGGATCTCTACCGAAATCTGGTTTTGCTGAAAAGTTTTTTTTTCGTGCCTCAAGTACAGAACCAGTGGCCATAGTCGCCGTAACAAGTACAGATCAAATTGGGCTGCGGAGAAGTGAATACGTCAAGATTTCTTTTCATACTGATTTTATTGAGCATGGGTCCGGGTTTATGTACATGATTTGGGGTTACAAGGATATTTACTTAGGTCTAGTCTAGATACAAATGGACAACAAGATATCAGCTACCTATTTATTTAGGTCAAAGTAGCTATCAGCAACGAACGAATTTCTGCTAAGTCGAAATCGTACATACTCCCGGTCGTTTAACTAATGTTCAACAATCGTTAATGTTGATCGTGAATGGCTGGATCGAAGAACCGTCTCTATTAACAGGCGTGTATTTCTAGGTTTTCGCCATTTCTTCATAAAGTGAGTTACAACAATGATTATTATAAAAACGAATGCAATATAAATAGCAATATGATGATGTTCAAGTCTCAAGATTATGTGATAACTTAAAACTATTGGAAGGCAAGAGTTGAGCGTCTCGTTGATACAACTCCTTGTATCTAAGGTTTGGGTCTTCCATCAAACTTGTAGAGGTAGATCTTGTTGAATTATGTCGTAAATTCTCCGTGAGTTCTCCTTCTCCAAAGCGAGCATACGATGTACTTAATGTGGTTTCCAATATGTCTTGACTTGTAATTGTCATTAAGGTATTTCGAATGGTGCATCCAGGTTTTGCAACCATTAATCCTGAACCTCTTAAATTTATATTGGAGGTTCCGTCTAAACAAACTGCAGATAATGTTAGCGTGGATCTTGTTGTAAAGATCCAGTGATTTTTAGCCTGTGTTCCTAGCCAAACTAACGGTCTTTCTGCTTTTATTAGTTTGCAAGGAAAAACCGTTTTATTATGAAACATCTGCATTTCGCAGATAGTTTCCGAAGATAACATTTCTTGTTTGTTGTAATCATCTTTCGATCTCTCTTGACAAGCCTTCAAATCAGTCTCTGACATTTCAACGAATTTATTTCGATGACTGTTGATTGCGATGTATGGGGTTTTAATTGCAAACATACTGATTTCATCTCCAGCCAGAAATGGAATTGGTGTCAATCTGTAGATATCCAAAATCTGAGTAGATACCAATGGCAAGTTTACCTTGATAATAAAATGCTCCTTAATGATGGTTTCCTCAGTCCTCATCATCTTATATGCCATTAATATATTATCAGGAGAGACTGGATGCCTTTGTCCAGGCTTCAAATAATTTTGTATCTGATCTAACTGATCCTTTAATTGTCTTGGTGACACAAACATCGGACTTATTGTGTTACGGCGAATATGTGCTAAAACGTTTATGATCTCGGTTTGCATTCTTGGCAAACTGGAGGCTAATAGAGAGAGTTGAGTCGCAAGTGTTATGTACCTAGAAAGTTTTATAAATCTACATTCAGTACCGGTGGATTCTGCAATATAATTTTCTATCTTTTTCAAACGCTTGCAACTCGAGATCTCATCCCTCTTAATAACATTAATTGTAGAGTCAATCAAAGATGTTTGATTTCTTAACAAAGTAAGCAAATGCTTCTCATTCGCTTTAACCTTTGTTATCGCTTGCACCATTTTATCAGCGTAAGTAGAGTCCAATACGCCGAAGAGACTACTGGCAATATTTCCAACGATGTCCAACGGCGCTCTTGGCTGACGTGATTTTGCTTTCAGCATGTTTTCAGCTTGAAGATCCTCCTCGATGTGTTTAAAATGTTTATACATGCTTGTACATGCCTGGAAACTGCTTGCACAAGTGTCCAATTTTTGTTGTGCCCGTTGAAAAGGTACTCATATCCTTCCAGTAAAGTTGCAAATTATAATAGACAATTAACGGATTGGAATCCGTTTTCGCAAGTTGACTCTTTCCAATCCTGTCAAAGAATATTCCAGGTTTCGATGCAAATTAAGTAACGTTAATTGATTGTGCTGCTACTAATGGTAATAGAAGAATCATAACAACTAACGCCATTGTCAGCGAAGGCATTGCTGATTTCTTCGACCTTTTCGTCTGCCTCTCATCAGGTGAATTCTCATCTTCCTCTTCGGCAGCTGGATGCTTATGAACAGGCTCCTCTTCAGAGAATATTGGGGCGATATATTCAATATCTCGTTTAAATATTCCTTTACTCGTTTTGACTTCTACAACTCTGACAAAAAAGACAATTGTCTTATTTATTCGCCCCAATGGCCATTGCAGAACTGGAGTATTATCTTCCTTTATCAACACTAATTCTCCTTCCTTTACGTTCGCCGAGGATCTTCTCCATTTTTGACGATGCTGAAGTTGTTGCAGATAATCAGTTGACCATTGAGTCCAAAACGCATGCTTTAACTTGGAAACGGCTTGCCATCGCTGCCCCAATGATTGTGGTTGCTGAGATGGCTCACCATCTGCTTGTGCGGTTAATGGTTCTCCAATTAGAAAATGACCCGTGGTAAGTGCCGTTACATCATTTGGATCGGTCGATATCGGAACCAAGGGTCTTGAATTCATGATAGCTTCTATTTCCACTATCACAGTTTCTAATTCCTCAAAGGTCAGATCTGTAGAAACATTCTTTAGCAATAAATGTTTTGCCGATGTTACCGCCGCTCCCCAAAGTCCTCCAAAATGCGGTGCTCTTGGTGGGATAAACTTAAAGTTGACGCCTTTATTATTGCAGGCCTCCACTATAGACCTCTTGGCCTTTTCTGAGAAGATGGCTTCTTCTAGTTCCTGAAGCTTATTCCTTGCTCCAAAAAAATTCGTAGCGTTGTCGCAGTGTAGAGTCTGACATTTTCCTCGACGACTCATGAATCGACGAAGTACTGCCAAGTATGCTTCTGTGGTTAAATCGCTGACTAATTCCAAATGCACTGCCTTGGTCGCAAAGCAACAAAAGATTGCTATGTAGGCAGTATGTGGTTTCTTTCCACGAATTTTGTAGTGAATCTTAAATGGTCCACAATAGTCAACTCCAGAATTAAGAAAGGGTCGAGCTTGTGTGACTTAATTTTGGTTTAGCTCTGGTGCATTTTACACATTTTAAAATGACATTTCGAGCTATTGTTTTTGCCTTTATTGCCCAATATCTTTGCCTTGATGTGGCTAATAGAGTTTGGGCACCACAATGCATATTTTCCTTGTGGATTTTTTCAAATATTAATTTGACTATTGGATCATTAAATGGCAATAGTACAGGATGTTTTGCATCGAATGAAAGCTCAGATGCTTCCAATCTGCCTCCAACTCGAATGAGTTCATCCTGATCCAAGAAAGGCTCGTCCGACTTCCCGGCGTTTCTTTAATTCTTTGATTTCGGCGCTAAAATTATTGTGCTGAATTAATCTGAGAACTATCTTTCGAGATTGTTCCAGCTCTTCAAATTTCACCATTGTCGTTGCGTCTGAAGATTTCCTTTGGAAACGCATGATGTATGCTACTATTCTTAGTAATTTATCAAATGAATTCCCGTGGTTTATGCCATAAAACCAATTCGGGCTTTGCGTGGTAGCTACCAAAATTTCTGGGTTCTCCTGGGGAATTGCACGGCGTTCGGATTTTGCCGCAACAAATGGTAATGGTGGACCATAGAACCAAAAACTGAAATTGGTGAATTTGGAACCACTTATTCCTCTTGACGCTATGTCTGCAGCGTTGCTTTCCGATGGAACATGGCGTCATTCCCTTTCCAACGATGCTTCTTGAATGGTGGTAATTCTAGTAGCCCCAAATTTATTGTCTTTGGGCTATTTATCCAGGACAACACAATTTCGGAATCTGCCCAAAAATATGTTGCAGTTCCTTGCAGCGACAATTGTTCCTTTACGGTCGCTGTTAATTGAGCACCTAAAACTGCTGCCTTCAATTCTAGTCTCGGGAGTGTGATCGAATTTACTGGGGCCAAACTCGACACATAATAACTGTACAGTCACTCGTTTATCCTTGTGAACTGCACGAAGATAAATGGCTGCAGCATACGCATCACGAACGTATGTATCTCCTTTGATACCAGAATCTTTACATCAAACACTTGACGGGGAATTTTAATGTCATTTAACACATTTAAATCTTCCCGGAATTGCTTCCATTCCGATTGTAACTGCGTTGGCAATTCTTTGTTATATTCAAATTTATCCTTTGTTAAGCCTTGCGTGAATATTTTGACCTTTATGACTACTGGAGAAAATAGTCCGAGAGGATCGAATATCTTGAATATTTCTGAAACCACATCGCGTCTTGTTATTTTGTCTGTGGTCACAGTTTGTGCTTTTCCACAGAGTTTGTCAATCGTAGGATTCCAAGTGATTCCCAAGGTTTTAATGCTGCAGTCCTCAAAGGCATCATCTTCAAATTGTACGGTAGGAATGATATCTTCCTTATCCAATCCTTGAAGAAGATGGGCACCATTTTCTTAATTTAAATCCGGAACTTAATAGTAAGTGATTAAGCTCCTTTTGAATTTGAAGGGCCTCTGGAATTGTATCAGCTCCGGTGATACAGTCGTCGACGTAAAAATAACTTTTAAGGGCAGACGATCCTATATGATATTTCTGCATATTCTTGCTTGCTAAATATTCCAAGCATTTTGTTGCCAGATATGGTGCAGACTTTGTGCCATAAGTGACGGTTTTCAACCGATAAAATTTAAGCCCTTCTGACGGATCATATCT